TCTTTTACAACCTGAATTGTGTGGACGACGAGGGCATTGACAACCCGTTAGTTTATTATTATTATTGTTTTTGTTATTTATTTATTATTATTATTAATTATTGTTATTATTATTAATTATCATTATTATTGATTATTGTTATTATTATTATTGATTATTGTTATACTTATCACTGTTTTGAATTATTAATTATTGTTATTATTGTTGCTTTTATTGTTGTTATTAATTATTGTATTAAAATTTGAAATTTTCAGTCATTACCATTATAATTATAATAATAATAATAATAATTATTATTATGATTATCATTATCATTAGTTATTATTATATTTATTAATATTAATTATTATTATTGTAATTAACTGCAGTGATCAACGAATAACACAAGATATCGAGAAGATGTGTTATCAACTCGCGATAAATATTCTCCCGAGCACGTTAATAGGACCGCTGGTGATTGGGTGGTATACGTGGAAGACGTGGGAGAGGTTTGATTTGACATTATTTTATTGACGAGTTTATTGGAGTTTAATTGACAAATTTATTTGAGCTTAATTGACAAATTTGTTGCATGTCTGAATTGACAAGTCTGAATTGACAAATTTATTGACAAGTCTGAATTGACAAATTCATTGACAAGTCTGAATTGACAAATTTATTGACAAGTCTGAATTGACAAATTTGTTGACAAGTCTGAATTGACAAATTTATTCAAATTACTTTTTACGTTTATTTTTTATTCATTTTTGTAGTTATTTTCATTTTATTTTTTAATTTTTTTCGACTTTTATTCAGTATTTTATTTTGTTCAAATTTTTTGCGTTGTTGAATTCACTTCAGCGAGCGTGAAAATTCGATTTGCTTTTAATATCTGGAATTTCAGTTCGGGTTATTTGGGTGTTGGAATAATCTACGGATATTTTTTGTTGGGAACGGTGGTGAATAAGGTGCTGCTGAGTCCGATAGCGAAATGGAGTGCGAGGGTGGAGAGGAGCGAGGGGGATTTCAGGTGAGTGCTGTGGATGGGTGACAGAGGGTTGGTGCTTTGACCGGGGAAGGGACGTTGCCGTGTTTAGGGGTATATGGAATTTGAAATGAATTTTCGGGATTTTGACGGAAATTTGAAATTTTTACTGATTAAACTCTAATAAAATAAATATTCCGCCGATCGCTGAAAGCGATTAACAAAACAACCACTCGATACCCGTGTAATAGTAGCAAGGAAATTATTATTATTATTATTATTATTATTATTAAAAATTATTGAGGTTTAAGGTAGTATTTAGTGAGGTAATTATTATGATTATTAATTAATAGTAAAATGAAATTGTTCAGGTATAAGGTAATAATTACTGAGGTAATTAATTTTATTATTTTTTTAATTATTGTTTTTATTAATTATTATAATTAAAAGAGAATTGTTGAGGTATAAGCACGTTTCGATACGAAATAACGCAGAATCGGTGGCGTTGTATAATGCCGAGGGATTCGAGGCAGAGCAATGCCGCAGTCTATTTAATGAGCTGTTGGGGAGGCAGATGGCATTCATGAATTGGAAGTTGCCGAATTTATGTGGGTTATTTGTTTATTTGTTTGTTTGTATTTATAATTATTATGTTATTATTATTTATTATTATTATATCACTACTATTATTTTGTTACTGTATT